ACCAGAGACACTGTGTCTATTAGAAGAAAAAGTAGGCCCAAATCTCCATCATGTCAGATCAGGCCCCAACTTCCTTAATAAGACTCCCATAACACAAGAATTAATATCAAGAATCAATAAATGGGATGGAATCAAACTAAAAAGCTTCTTCTCAGCAAAAGATGCAATCATGAAGTGAATACAGAGCCTACTAATTGGGAACAAATTCTTACCACTCGCACATCAAATAGAGCACTAATCTCTAGAATATATAAAGAACTCAAAAATCATTTTTTAGATGTTGATGGACCTTTATTTTATTCATTTATTTAATCAAACCCAGGGCCTCACACATGCTAGACAAGTGCTCTACCCCCGAGCCACAACTCCAGCCCAGAACTCAAAAATCTTAACACCAAAAATCAAATAACTCAATCAATAAATGGGCCAAGGAACTGAATAGACACTTCTCAGAAGATGATATACAATCAATCAAGAAATGTATAAAAAATGTTCAACATCTCTAGCAATTAGAGAAATGCAAATCAAAACTACTCTAAGATTTCATCTCTCTTCAGTCAGAATGGCAGCTATTAAGAATACAAAAAGCAATAAGTATTGGCAAAGATGTGGGGGAAAGGTACACTCATACATTGGTGGTGGGACTGCAAATCGGTGCAGTCAATATGGAAAGTAGTATGGAGAATCCTTAGAAAACTGGAAATGAAACCACCATTTGACCCAGCTATCCCACTCCTTGTTCTATACCCAAAGGACTTAAAAACAGCATACTACAGGGACACAGCCACACCAATGTTTATAGCATCACAATTCACAATGGCTAAACTGTGGAACCAACCTAGATGCCCTTCAATAGATGAATGGATAAAGAAAATGTGATATATATACACAATGGAATATTATTCAACATTAAGAGTGAATAAGATCATGGCATTTGCAGGTAAATGGATGGTGCTGGAGAATATAATGCTAAGTGAAATTAGCCAATACCAAAAAACCAAATGCCAAATAATTTCTCTGATTTAAGGATGCTGATTCATAATATGTTGCAGAGGAGGGGATGGGAGGATTAAATGAACTCTAGGTAGGTCAAAGGGGGAAAGGGGAGGGAGGGGGAGGGGGAAAATAGAGGTAGGAAAGATGGTGGAATGCAATGGTCATCATTACCCTAAGTACATGTATGAAGACAGGGAGGATGTGACTCTACTTTGTGTACAACCAGAGAGATGAAAAATTGTGCTCTATACGTATAATATGAATTGTAATGCATTCTGCTGTCATATACAGCAAATTAAACTTTAAAAAATTAGAAAACAGTAAATGATATTGTGATTTTAGGAGAAATAGATATTAAAATGATATGATGGTTATATAGCATGATTCTTCTATAAATTTAATTATAGAATGTGCAATAAAGTTTGAAGGCAAAGGAAAATACCTTTTGGAACCAATTTACACTAAATAACACATTTGCCCCAATGAGTATATATTGTAGTGATATTAAGAGGGTAGGATGTTGTGATTTCAGGGGAAATAGACAGATTTGGATGTCTAACACTGGAACTCATCACATAGAACATAATGAGAATGCAAACAGAAATTACCAAGGAAGAATCAAGTGATGACACTGGCAATTAATCAGGCAATGTTTTTTTTTTCCTGAGTCATTACTACTAAATTGCCTCTCTGCATACTTTCCCCCCCTTACTTCCCTTAACATAACACCAAATGTGAGTGGCAACAGTATAGCATAGAAGACTGAGTGCCTCAATTAGGAAACCAAAGAATTGAGTTCAAGTCCCAGCTTTGTTTGACCTTAGATCAATTTTTCACCTGAGACACAATTGCCTCATCTATAAAGCAAGCAGTTTACCTTGAAAGTCTTTTCCATCCCTAACAATTTTGAGCTTATAATGATATCCTTTTCCTATTTCTATGGCATTTGTGTAGTACTTAGGAATCAGTGGCCTGGAAGACTGGAAATGTGTTCAAGACATCTCAAGTAAATTGCCTTGCTTTGGTTGGTAAATAGTGGACATACACTAAATGAATATTGTCAAGTAATGTGCTGTAAATGTGAACTACAATGATGATTTGAATCATTGTATAACACGGATATTAATATGCATTTTGAGTTTCCTTAGATGACTTTGGTGACAGCAGTAGTGTTGGCAATCTTCCCAACATTTACTATCCCCCAAAGATTGAAATGTTGGGCTAGGTGGAAAAAAACTGATAATAGATGACTTTATCCATCTGTGTTATTTATCAGAGGCTTGATAGCATCCATCACTATAATACCTACTCATTGGGGTAAATGTGTTATTTAGTGTAAAATGGATCCAAGAGGTATTTTCCTTTGTCTTAAAACTTCATTGCACATTCCATAATCAAATTTATAGAAGAATCATGCTATATAAATCTAATAGAACATCATAAATCTAGATTACTATTTTCAGGGCAAATCAGTGTCTTTATAGTATCAGAAAAAAAGGAATTATCATAATCAAAGATATTCTCATGAGTCAAGACAAGTTGTTAAGCAGAATAGAGAGCAATTATGAGCTTATTTGAGTGGCATCATGGAGTTACCATTGACTCGTTTCATTTATCAACCAAATGCTTGCAGTAACCCAGGTTTCTAAAACTTTAGAGTCAAACACTCAATATGAGGTAGAAGTTACAAAATAGTTTTAGATATTCTAGTATTCCAGTATACCACATGTGCAAAAAAAATTAAACATATTGGGCTTGAATCTGCTCTATTTAGAAAGGCCTTGGATCTTGGCTTATAACTGGGAAAGTAGACTTTGGGTGGGCTCCCATCATTCCTCATCTCATAAGGATGGCTTCCTGTGCCTAAATAGTACAGACAATGGGAAGAACACCTGCCTCCCTTTTGGAGATCTGGAACACTAGCACATGCTAGGCACTTGGTGTCTATATGACTAGCCCCATAAGAAACCTTTGGCGCTGAGGGTTTTTTTTTTTTTAATTTTTTAGTTATAGATGGACACAATACCTTTATTTTTATTTTTTTAAAGAGAGAGAGAGAGAGAGAGAGAGAGAGAATTTTTTTAATATTTATTTTTTAGTTTTCGGCGGACACAACATCTTTGTTTGTATGTGGTGCTGAGGATCGAACCCGGGCTGCACGCATGTCAGGCGAGCGTGCTACCGCTTGAGCCACATCCCCAGCCCCAATACCTTTATTTTTTATTTCTTTTTATGTTTCGCTGAGGATCTAACCCAATGCCTCACAGGTGCTAGGCAAGTGCTCTACCACTGAGCTACAAACCCAGCCCTGGCATTGAGTTTTTAATGGGCTTCCTTGGTAGACATTTCACATGTGTTGTCACAAGTGAATGCTTGAGGGAAGCACATAGTGTGTCACTACACTTGGAAAGGACACTTGTAAGTTTGTGCCTGTTTTCCTCCAGATTTTACCCCCTGCACTTTTTCTCTGATAATTTTTCTTGGTATCATTTTGTGTTAATGCATCTCAACCATAAGTATTTTGAGTCCTGTGAATTCTTCTAGCTAATCACTGATCCTGGGGGTGGTTTTGTGGACCCCCTACACATTGTACTATTTTTATATGCTGAAATTTTAGTGTTTGTTAGTATTTTTAAAAATATATGAACTCTGAATCATTTATATATTGAGATGCACGCATCTATTATGAACCCATAATTGAGATAATTATATGCTACATTAAAAATTTGAATCAAACAACAGCGAACTGAATTAGAAAGTGTTCTGACCATATTTCTCACACTTTAAAAAGCTTTACAAAGTGAAAATATTTTATTTTAATTTCCCTGGTTACTAAAGAGGCTGAAGATCTTATTAGTCTTATTTCCCAAGAGTTCAGAAATAGGGGTGGGGTAGGAAGAGGTATGTGCATTCAGGAAAAATAGGAGAGGATGTGTTGAAGAGTTTAGGACAAGGAAGAGATCAGGAAATTTCCTACGCTCAAATCCAAGGCCTTAGAGTCCAATTACCCTTTCCCCTCATACCCAGAATCTCTCTGCTTTCCAGTATACTAGGAGATCTATAAAATAGAAATAATAATACTATTAATATCATAAATACTTTTGTTTCATTTAAATAAGTTAGCACCTGTAAAGAACTTAGCACAATGCCTAGCAACAAATTCTCTCCATTTTTGATATCTCTAACTAAGGGTAGGCCCTCATCATTTTATGTCTAAATTACTGTAGTAGCCTCCTTCAGACTTTAACCTTTTTGGTCAGTCATTGTGACCATAATTATTCTCACTTCTTTTTTCCTAAATCCCCACCAAACATTTTCTACTATGTCAAGTGAAATACCCTCTGCCCAACTTTCAAGGTCCCTACCCTACCTTATAAACTTACTTCTCTATATCAGTGATTCTCTCTCCATTCTTCTAAACCAGTGGTTTTCAAACTTAATTATGAATCAAAATCATTTGGAGGGCATGTTAAAACAGTTTGATGTCCTCCCTCTGGAGTTCTGATTAGTTGCTGGGTGTTGCTGATGCTGCTGGTCTGAGGACAACTCTTAAAGAAGCGTAGCCCTACATTGTCTGTCTCCTTGACTTAGTTTTCAGTTATTTTGCTTTCTGTCAATTCTGTTAAACCATTCTTCCTTTTCACATCCATCTATTCTTCCCTAGCCCCACATGCTCCTCTATGTCCATCTATCTTATTTTCTTTGCCTGGAATGTTTTCTCCTCCATTAGCACTAAAATCCTATTTAATCCAGTTCAAGACCCTATTAATGTTTCTATTCTTTGGACTACCATTGTTTGATATACTTTGCATTTCACAGTCTAATTCTTATGTGTTATTTTTTCTTATTTCATACATGTGACTTGTATTTTCAAAAATCTATTTTTTTGGTACTTAAATATTTTAATAATATATTTTTATTTTCAATTGACATATAGTAATCATAAATATTTATAAGGTACACTGTTGACATTTCAATAAATATAATTCAATTTGCAGTGATCAGGATAATTGGCATATCTATCACCTCAGACATTTATCATTACACAGGGGTCATGCTAATCTTCTCTGTATCACTCGTATCACTTTAGTATCTGTGCTACTGAAGAGAGCATAATAATGTAAACATTTTATGGCAGGAAATTACATTTTGTTTTCCCTGCACCCCCCCCCACTACAGTCTAGCACTAAAGTGAATACATATGTTAAATAATCATTTAACTGATTGATTTGTGTGGTCAGGTCATCCATTTTGATTGTAAGATCATATGCTTTTCATTCTGTCCATAATTTGACTCTGAGAAAGGTAAGAATTGCAGAGGCCCAACTTCTGCCTTTAGCTTTACACAGAGAAGTCACTACAACTTGCATGCCTACGCTGTGAATATTGCCTGTCATCTTTCCAAATTTGTGTCTGTCTTAATGCACTCAGAATTACAGGGCAATGATTATTATAGAAGATTCTACATAGAACAACGTGCATGATTGCAGCCTTGTACTTAATGGCAAATGGTAGCTGATTGTTTTGTTCTACCTAAGAGTGAGGGAGTATGCAGTAAAAAACAATTTGATGCTGACTGCTGTTTCTGAAGCTTTGTTATACTTCAAGTGCCTCCAACATTTATGACTCTGGCAGACAGTCAAGAGACATACAACATTTTATTTCATTCTATGTAAAATAGGCTGCAAATTTGTTTCTTCAGTCTGTTGCTATTACTGAACAGAAGATATGGCTCTTTTCAGGTTCAGATAAAAAATATCTTGCTTAATTTTATGATTGCTTGGGGTTGTGGTTTTCACAAAACATCTTTCAATGTAAAATAAAAAAATGTGGAAGTCAATCATAAAGCTCAACTGTTTGCTTTTATGTTTGACTGTCATAAATGTAATAAATCTTAACAGTGACTAGAGAAGGTGTAGAAATCCCCTATTCAAGGACAATTGTGTGCTTTCAATGATTTCTAAATTGGTTCCCTATAATACGTGGTTTCCGTTGATCACAATGAGCAGAGAAGCAGCACCATTTTACCCCTTCTATGTTAGTTCTGGAAAATCCTGAGTTTCAATGGCATTTATTTACTTGTTAAGTTTCAAACCTTTAGATTTTCAAAAAAGTGTCTTAGGGTGTGTTTTCATAAAATATATAAATAATTTAAATATCTTTAAAAACAACAGCAGCATGAAAACAGGACCCACTGCTGTTTTGTTCTTGTTGCAACCTTGGCCTTGTAGTAACATAAAAGGAGGGCTTTCTTTTATATTATTCTCAAAAGATCTGAATATCAGCTCATGGGTCAATGGACAACAAAAGGCAATGCTGTAACATAGATCATTCACAACAAATATTCTGTTAATATTTGTTGATGCAATAATACCCAGCACATCCTCTGGAACTCCTGGGCAGAGTCTAGGCAAGTTCTAATGTTGCTCTGAAGCAACATGTCTGAAACTGAAAGACTTGAGTAGGAGGATTCTACGCAGTTTGAAGCTACGCTGAAACATTCTATTTACTCCCATAGAAGAGGAAATTAATTAAATTTATGGGTTATGTGTTCAAGCAGGTGTTTGTATTTTTAAAAAATATAATCCCAAAATATGTCAAATAACATTTATAATATAAATGTGATCTTATAATAAGAAATATTAATCTTATTTGCTTGTGCTTTACATGTATTTACTATTTTTTCAAAGGTTTATTAGACAGAGGTTTATTTAGCAAAACAGATACATATTCAAGGGAGAATGGGGGCTATTTCAAGAGGGAGAGAACTCCTTCCCTTGGTGTAGAGTGTTCATATTTATAGAGGGACAGTTGCTAGGGGCTGGACTAGGGGTGGAGGCAGAGTGAAGCTGCACAATTTCATGCCAGTTTTCCCTGGGCTTGAACATTGCCCTCATATGCAAGGGCAGGGGAAAGGGGCAAGGGTTAAGGGTGTGGGCTAGAGGTTTGTTGCTCTTGTTGCTCAGTAGTTGCACTTGTTTCTGGGTGCTTTGTTTGTTTGTTTGTTGCATCTCAGTGGTTCATTGATATTTCCTTCAAGACTCAGTATCTTTCCCTTTATTCTCAAATTATAATGTCATCCCCTTAAGACATTAATCCCTTAATCTTAAAGGTTGCTAAGAGATGAAGATCCATTTCCTTTGGCTGCTTCAGGTTGGCATGCAGCAATGACCCTGCCTGGCCAGGGATCAAAAGTCTCATCCTGATTGATCTAAAAGATGTAGATATTGGTCTCAGCTGTGTGGACAGGTTGGAATTCTTGTGTTGCCATCCTCTTGACATGGAATTGTTGTCATCAATGTTGATGCCTCCAAAGTTCCACTTAAGGGCCACCAAGTGATGTCACTGGAGAAGACATGTCTCCCAAGAAGGGTCTGAGAAGTTCCCAGAGAAAAGGGGGAGGGAACTTTTCTCAGGACCAGCAGGGTTCTTGGCTTATGGGATGGAAAAGAATTTCAGCACACTTCAATTAAAGGTATAGATAGATGTTTATTTAGAAAAGTAGATACATATTCAAGGGAGAATGGGGAAAATCTCAAGAGGGATTCCTTTGGGGTAAAGCAAGGAGTACACACTCAAGGGAGAATGTGGGTACTCTCTAGAAGGAAAGACAGTCAATATTTATAAACTTAATGCTGGTGACAACTTTATGGCACACATTATATTATTACTCCATTTTAAGGACAAGAAAACTAAAGTACAGAGAAGTTGTTTAAATTTCTTACAGTGATTACATCTTCAAGTTGCATACTAGAAATGGTTTCTTAATTCTAAATTCTAGCATGCATGTTGTATCTTCCAGTATATTTTTAGAAGTCATAGTAGAGATAGTTTAACAGTTCTATTTTATTAGAAAAGCATATTTGAGAAAAATCACACTCTTTTCTTCTTTTAATCATGTCTAGATGCTGAGACCACATGACTGCAAAGAAATTACCACAATTTACTTGATGACAGTATGTCCTAATTGGAGGCAAAGTATATAGGAGGAAATTAGCAGCCTCCTCAAGTGTTTGCTTTTTCAGACCTGAACATATGAAGTGTTAGAATAAAAAAGGAAGGAAAAGGCAAATGTCACAGTCTATTTGCCACAATCACACTCCTTAAGCAGGGAGCTGAACCTGACCTCCTGGGCCACTGATTACAGGGTTTACCAGGGAAAACTGGGTCCTATTTAAAGCATATATTCCCACTTAATTCAGGTCTTACAGGATGGTAGTAAATATAATAACAACATACTTAAGTATATGGACTCAAAAGTGAGATTAAATTGCATTCAAATCCCAGCACCATTACTAACTACCTCTGTATCCTTTGCCAAGTTATTTCAACTCTTTTTGCAACAGTTTCTTCATCTACAAATATGAGGTATAGGAATAAGTAATAATGATACCTAGCACATTAAACTGTTATGAAGATTATTTGGCTGGCACATGATGCATGTAAATGCTTAGACTAGGAAAAATGCCCCAAATGTCACTTTTTAGGAAAATGCATTCCAAGTAGAATGAGATAAATGAAGTCTGGTATTAGGTATATGAGGAGGAATTGCAAGAGATAATACTGGAAAAGATTCAGTATGGGTTGTGGAAGACCCAGAAGGTTATACTAAAGAAATGAGCTTTATTTTTCAGTCACTATGGAAACACAGAAGGTTTATGACCAGGCTACTCCAAACACCAACAAATACAGTCTCAGAATATAGTGTCAAATTTCTAAATAGCTTTCTTTTTTCCTTTGGCAGTGCTGGGATTGAACCCAGGGCCTTGTGTATGCTAGCAAGCACTCTAACATTATGCTTCAAGGTGTTGATTTTGAATGGGAAAACAGATCAATTCCTTTAGGTAGTCTGAACTTACAAAAGTAGTCATATCATGTCTGCTCAGCCCCATTGTCAACATTGCTTATAGCATATTCAATTTTTCTTGTTTTATAATTACATGATTATAAAACAATAAAAATTGACATTTGAACATTATACCTTGTATCAAATATTGAAAATACTACCTATTACACTTGACTGTGAATGCACAATTATGGAATATGTGCCATTGTTACTCTGATATTCTAAATTATTCCTTGGAGTTGGACAATATAGAAGAATAAAAATCAAATTAAAGTAGTGTTTGGATAGAAGGTTAAGTTATTAAGAGAGAGTTAGGAAATTATAGCCAGTACCCAATCCTCTAGGGCTCAGGAATGCTGGACCTCGCTTCCCAAGAGGATTTAAGGGCCATCATTGAAGTGGTCCTGAGGCCAAAACAGAGAAGTTCAAAAGTGGGGAGTCAATCTGAGGATCACTAAAGGGAAGGGAGATGAGAGAAGAGACAAATCATAATTGGAAAGATAAAGCAGTATTGAAAATCAGAGGATCAAATAGGTTAATAGGTAAAACTGGAAATGAAGCTAAAACAGATGCAATCTTGGAGAACAAAGATTTTGAGGAATGTGTGGGGTCATACCCACGAAATTGAGGGTAGGATTAGACATGGTAGTTTAGGTTCAGGATGATATGGACTACTGACTTAATCTGACAGTGGAATGAATCTGACATAGTTTTTCCATGTATATTTATGGAAACAACTTAGTGAATACTAATACCATTGTACATCCATAAGAATGGGACTCTAAATAGAATAAGATATATTTCATGCTTGTATAATTATATCAAAATGGATTCTGGGGCGGAGGTTGTGGCTCAGTGGTAGAGTTCTTGCCTCGTATGCATGAGGCACTGGGTTTGATCCTCAACTCCATATAAAAATCTACAGCTAAAAAAAATTTTTAAATAGATTCTGCAGTCATTTATAACTGAAAAGAACAAAATTTAAAAAAGAAAATAATGAGGGAAAAAGTTTGTGGAACTGTTTATAAGCCCTGAATAAACTGTGAAATTACAGAAAACTTAAAGACATGATGGCCTCATACTTGAATTGCAGAAATTTGTAGAAGGAATTTTAACTTATAGTTGAATGGAAATTGAATGGAAACAATTTTCTGTGGGAAACATAACTATTGACTTTTATGCTATGAAAAGATTTGTAAACTAGAAGGTCTAAGCCATTCAGATCTGTATCCTCTCTCCTTCTTGCCACTGTGCTTAGGAAAGAATGA